TACAATAGCAAAGAGTTGGAAGCAGCCTAGAGGCCCATCAACAAACGAATGGATAGAGAAGCTGTGGTATATTCACACAATGGAATACTACACAGCATTGAAAAACAAGGAACTCATGCAATATTATTCAAAGTGGGTGACCCTGGCACATTCTATTTTTTTAAAAAAAATCAAGATTAACTAGAAGGGAAAAAAGGGAAAGCCCTTTTAAAATTTAAAAAAACCCCACTATTTTATATTTGTTTACAAAGTTTGTATACATTGTGTTTGACACTATCCATTCACATTGTATTTCATACAATCATTTCAATTCATTATACTTTATTTTATTTTATTTTTTGTGTGTGAGTATACCATCAAATCAGATCTGACTGGTACAGGAGGAGATTGTTCCTCCTTCCCCAGCAGAGCATCTGGTGGATTCGAACCGTGCACCTCTGGGACTGTAGTTGCAGCTCTTTACCACTAGGCCACCAGAGCTCCCCTGAATTCACTATATTTTATAAAACTAATCAACAGTAAACTATGCCCACCATTGCCCTGTTCTTTCAGATTCCCAGCAGATCTTTCCCATTTCCTTTATGTACCCCACCCTTCACCCATCACAGTGTGTGAACCTGTGATTTCCCCCCTGCCCATCCTCACCTCTCTGCTCCTACCCTCTCCCCCTCGGATCCTCATACACATTATATTAGTTATCTTTCTATTTCTACAATAATGGTCTTATACAGTATTTGTCCTTATTAGACTGACTTAGTTCACTCATGCTCTCCAGTTTCTCCCAAGTTATGTTGCCATTTTCAAAATCATTGTTCCTGTTTGCTGTGTAGTATTCCACAGTGTGAATGTACCACAGTTTCTCAATCCATTTGATTGTGTTTGGATATTTGGGCTGTTTCCATGTTATTGTAATGGGGAATAATGCAGCTATAAACATTGGTGTACATATATCTGTTTGTGTCTCAGTTCTAATTTCCTTAGAGTTTATTGCAAGCAGTAGAGTAGCTGGGTCACATGGAATTTCTATGTTCAGCTTTTAAAAAAATATTATTTCTCTTTTGCTGTTTGTTCAAAGGCTGAAGGCTTTCTTGCTGGGAACGCAGTCCTAATCTCTGAGGCAGTCTTCTTGGTTAAGTCTCACAGACTGGGATTCAAATCCTGGTCCTCGTGGAACCCTGGCCCTACCAAGTCTGAGACTGGGGTCCACATTGTTAAGATGGGGAGACCTCTTGGGTCTCAGCACATCTAGCACACACTCTTTTAGTCTCCTCACGTTGCTTCCAGCCCAGAGCCTTGGAGGCTGTACATGGCACTGAAGGAGACTGTCCATCTAGCTCCCTCGGAGCTGCTGCTCGTGGATTCTAGCCTGGAAGATGGGTAGCATGTGCATGACCAGTGTAGCGCCCAATGGACCATGTCACCAGAACTCCCTGCTTGTTGCACACAGCAGGCACAGAATATGTTAACGCTTAAATTATTATTATTAAAAAGAAAATCTGGAATGTTTTATAATGTCAGGAAGGGAAAGCCTAATGGTTTAATAAATGGAAGCAGGCAAAGGCAAAGATAACGCCATCCACCTTTTAAAAAAAGTATAGGATCTAATACCCTCTGGGGGCTGTTGCTATTTCTGTGTGCTCATTATGGACCTATAGATAATGAAGTGTATATTTGTTTATTTTCTCAAGAGCCTCACCAAATTCATGGGTATTCATAATTCTCACGAGATTCTGATCTTGGAGACATAAAGGTGATAGATAATGGGCCCAGGAGTGTTCCCATGACTTCTCCAAGGTTGTCTAACTAGTTGATTTGTTTCAGACAGTGACTCTCCAGAAGGAGAGGTGCTGTGTGGTTAGGTGCAGTGGAGTCGAATATGACTCATAGTGACCCTATCAACAGCTGACCTGAACTCTGTCCTATTCTGTGTCATCCTTATCATCTGACACACTAGAACCCATTGCTGAAGTCACCATGTCGATCCATCTTGGTGGGAGTCTTCCTCTCCTTCACTGACCATCCATCTTTTCCAAGTATGATGTCCCTTTCCAAGGAACACGTCCAAAGTATGAAAGGTGAAGCTTCATCATCTTGTCTCCAAGGAGCACTTTGGCTGCACCCTTCCCAAGACATATCTGTATGTTCTTTAGGAAGTTCATGGGATATTCAGTACTCTTCTCCAACACCACAACTCAAAGACATCGATTCTTCTGTCATCCTTAGTCATTTTCCAGCTCTCTGATGTGTGGCAGGTGACTGAGAAAACCATGGCAAAGACCTATTTGCTTATATAAAGTTCAAATTAAGTATATAACAAATGTTGGAGATATCAAATTATAAAAAACTAGTACTGAGATACAAAACATATTAAAACTTAATTTTGTACTTAATAGATATATTCCCTCTTCACCCTCCCCCATCTAGAAAGCTACATTCATTCATTTACAAGTGGATAGGGAAAATAGTCATAAATAAAATTAATGGCTAATTTTTTTTCTTTCTTTTTTTTTAATGGCTAATTTTTATAAGAAATTTATCTGCTAAAAACCAAGCTGGAACTTCCCCTCCCCCCATGCTAAATTTTACAGTAAGCCTGCAAAGAAAATGGCAGAGCTGGGATTTGAACCCAGGATTTTCAGTAGAGGAGAAAATCAGACTTGAGAGTAGACTTATCTTTTATTTTTATTTATTTATTTTTTTTCCCCGCCTCTTTTTTTTTTTTTTTTTTTAAAAAAGAAGTTCACATTTTATTCTTTTTTTTCCCCCTGCCTCTTTTTAAACAGTCCCTCCGTAAGGACTATCCACTTAGCTTTGTACCCAAAGACGAAATTTGTAGGTGAAAGGAGTTAGCCTTTGTTACAGACTGGTTAATTTCAGGGTCGAAAATATGGAACGCTTCACGAATTTGCGTGTCATCCTTGTGCAGGGGCCATGCTAATCTTCTCTGTATCGTTCCAATTTTAGTATATGTGCTGCCGAGGCGAGCACGAGAGTAGACTTATCTTTTAAAACAATTTCTGCTTCTGTCATTTAGCTGTTACAATGCAATAAAAAGTGTATCTT